AGGCAGATGATGCGATGGATTGGCTATGGCCCGCTTTATCTCACATTGCTGCCAAAACGCCGTCCATGGTCCTCGAAGAATCCCATGACTCTGTTGCTAGCGATGTCGAGTACAACTCTGTCATTCGCCAGGAATACGCTCATACGGTATGGAAAAATATCTCTATACTATCAACCTCATTCTCAGTCGAAAACCTGTAGATCATCTCAAAACATCGGACAGCGCTTACCAAACACATCTCCCTACGCGCAGGGGATATCCGTAGCCTGTCGTCTGGCCAGATCATTTTTATACTGACAATGCACGATATCGAGCGTATGCGATCTGCGGCTGGGCTTACTTCGTCTCTTGTTGTGTATTTTACAAACGACAGTATCAACGGTCATCCCGGTTTATCTGCCTGTATGGAATCGGTCGCAGAAAAGGTGTGGATTATATACCTTCACATTAACGCTCACCAACTGATCTTCTTCAGGTCATGCGCGGCTGTATCAATGAACTCAACACTCAAGCGTCTCAACAAATGCTGCCTGAATGTTTGTCCTCGGAACTCAGATCTCTCTTGATCTACACCACCCATCGGATTGAAAACGCCAGAGAAATAGCATCCAAATACCTCAATCGCTTGATTACCTCTTTTCCATCGCTCATGTGCGATCCGCCATTTGTTCTGGCGATTCTGGAGGTCCTCACATTGCTTCGACAATCCTGTGAAAACGAGTTCCTGGATGAGGTACTGTATTCTCTGGTTGATTGTCTGTCCCCTGACTGTCTCCCTCTCCACAGTACAATCCCGTTTATGAATTTCACTCTGAAAGGGCAGGGATTACCTTGCAGTTGTCTGACGATTATAAGCGGCGAAACGATATTCTTGGGCAATTGCATCGGAATGCCAATAATTGGTTCGAATTGGCATTGGCGCGTGCTCCTATCGAATTACAGTCTACATTGCAGGTACAAATTGATTGCAATTTTTCACGACGGGAGTCTGATGATCATAGTAGAAATACCTTGCTACTACTCATGCGACATCGGGAGGACACTCCTCCGAGCTCGGTGCATCGGTTGCGGAACATTTTGGCAAAGCAATCGGCCCTGTACAACGTCAACTCAGTATGTGGCTGCTCACCCTACGATGTTTGAACGGCTCGACTAATCTGGCTCAAGCTTGTCTCGCTGGCTTTTCTCAATGGAAAACAGATGGCGCTAAAAGCCTGGCGAATGAGATCGCTATCAAAAGTTACTTTTCTGGAGAGGCTGCAGGGGTTCGCTTGGCATGTCACCAACGTTGGTATCATTTGCTTTAGCGGAAAGTGTACAACCTCAATGATCTCTACAGTTCCTGACAAACTCGACAAGATGCCTCCACACTCAGCTCCTTCGACCGAAATCTATGCTTTGAAGAGAAAGATGGCTAGTACAACTGAGGACGTACTCAACAAGAGCAGTTCACTTACTGTACAAGATTTAAAGAGACTCCTGTTCAGATGCGCCGCGGCACTACTCTCTTTGGAACAGGTTCTTGATCTTCCATTGACTTGAAAAGTTTTACTCACTGCTCACATCTCCAGTGTGATCATGACTTGCTCCATCACCTCGTCGCGTTGCCGTTCGAAGTCGCGACACCACCTGCGATAGCAGCTGGGATTGAAGTCTGGACGTGGGTCATATCGAACAAGCCCGATGTCGAGGTAGCCTTGATGACTGAAGTTCTCTCTGCGTGGTCGGACACTATTAAACATGAAAAGGGAATGTTCTCCTCGTCACTGAAGTACGTCTGCGGATCGTACATATAAAGATTCCAGGTCGCGTTTATACTTTCCCACAGCTACGATGATCCTTTCTACGACCCAATCAGTTACAGTCCTACAGACAAAGAGGTCATCGATAGAGGAACCACCAATGCCCGCCGAATCCTTACTCCCCACGTCCTCGTTCTCCAAATGCTCCTCAGTCGTCTACAAGCGGCACGATACCGCCGCCCTGGGATGATGTTCTTGATCCAACACCTCGTGCTTAGATCTGCGCAAGCATATCGTTTGCTAAGGTATGTAATGCATTTGCCTTCATCCATGACTCCCCTGACTCGCCACCCCATCAAGCACCCACGCTTTGGCTCGCGAAGAGCGCTTTTCTCTCCTTCTCTTTGGTTTCGAAACATTGAAGAGCTCTCACTTGGATCCCTATTCGGAAAGCCTGTTACGGGAAAGCTTATACTCAGTCGCTTTTGCTTGGTTCTCGGTCCGCCCCCAGTATGATTTACAGTTTTTTTGCGCCGTCAGGGTTTTTAATGCAGTTTCAGGTGGTCATATGGTGCGAACCGTGCTCAGGTAGACGCAGACGTGAAAGTTCTCGCGGAATTCTTGTCTTGCCTGCAGACCGATACTATCCGAGGAACATCCGAGATCTCGAGCTTGTCCCCAGCACAGATACCTTCCCGTGGCACATGTGAGTACTGCTACTCTACTTGTACCCGTGTAATGACCATCGTATTCACAGACTACGCGAACCGACTTCGAAGCATCAATCACCCTCTGCGGCTCCTCACAGAGAACGAGATGAGCAGACTAATTGTTTGGAACAATCCCACCAACGATCCCAAACGAGGTGCAGATCACATTGGAACAGTTGGCGCCACAATGCTCGATGTAATACAAATTTGATAATTAATCCATGAAATGACTGACCTGTGACTTCTTAGGCTTCTTGGCCTGCTGTTCTTCGTACAGTATGGCAGATCGAACCAGCGATTGCTGTGTACCTCGCAGAACGATTCAAAAGTCCTGTTGTCCGCCACGAAGTGACTAAAATGGTTCGCTCAAGCCCTCTTGAGGTTCTTGACATTCCGGAAGCTTTACCATTATTTATTGGCGAGAAAGTAGATGTCTATGTCCGAAGGGATTTCAAGGTGGGCCAGCCTCCTGATTCCATGGCACTGGTTCTGATCTGTGACTTAAAGCATCTCGTTTTATGGGCGCCCGTTCCGCCTGTGATTGCCGTCGGTTTCTTTGAACCGCGGTACAATAATGATCCGTTGATTCTACAATATGCCCACCGAGTTCTGGAGCAGCACCCTGTTGACCTAACGTTCTTCTTCGTACCTCAAGTAGTTCAAGCTTTGCGATACGACAAACTTGGTGGGTGGTCTTCCATCGTTCATTCGGAAATCCCTAATATCTTTTCAGGCTATGTGGCGCATTTCATTTTCGAGACAGCGAAGATCTCCCAGTTGTTCTGCCACCAGATCATCTGGAATATGAAGGCCAATTGTTATAAAGATGATGCGGCTGAGATTGTGAGTTTCAAAACCGAACATGTGAACTCCTTGTTCATCGTGCAATAGGAGGATTCCATGAAGCCTGCTCTTGACCTCATGACAGCACGGGTCGTAGATTCTCTTTCGGGTGAAGCTCGAAATTTCTATAACCGAGAATTCAGTTTCTTCAACGAAGTAACGTCTATTTCTGGTAAACTCAAGCCGTTCATCAAGAGGACAAAACCCGAGAAAAAGGTCAGTATCATCCTGACTCGTTTGGATATTTTCTTACGGCACACCAGGCAAAAATCGACGAGGAAATGGCCAAAATCAACGTCGATGTTGGTGTGTATCTACCTAGTAATCCCGATGGAGTGTTGGTGGACATCGACAAGAAATCAGGCCGACCACTGCAGAGCCATGCCAAGGTTAGTTTATCTCTTGATTAGTAGCTTGATATGATACTGAAGTTGAGGATCTGGCAGGCGCCATTCATGGCCACTTTTAAGGTTCGCAAAGAGCGCATCGTCGTTAATACAGATCCCGACCTGATCCTGGATGGCGACGGGGCGGGTACCGAAACTCGGACTCAATATGACGTCTGGCAGCAGGCGATCTTTAAAGTGGGCGACGACTGCAGACAGGATGTATTAGCTCTTCAGATTATTGCAATGTTCAAGAACATCTTCACCAGCGTTGGTCTCACGCTCTACCTCTTCCCGTACCGTGTAACAGCGACAGGACCAGGCGTGCGTACTCTCGACGGCTCCCCCTAATTGTGCTGACCTTTCATACAGTGCGGCATCATTGATGTTGTGCCCAACGCAACGTCTAGAGATGAAATGGGCCGCGCCAAAGTCAATGATTTGCTTGACTTCTTCGTAGCCAAATATGGCGGGGAAGACACCGTTGCATTCCAGAAGGCTCGACTCAACTTCATTCAATCGATGGCGGCCTATTCTGTTGCTTGCTATATTCTCCAGATCAAGGATAGGCACAACGGCAACATCATGATTGACGGTGAAGGTCACATCGTACACGTCGGTATGTCAAATCACGCCCCCTACCTTTCCTGAGCTTTAGTAAGGTTGTGCTAGATTTTGGATTCCTCTTTGACATAGGACCAGGAGTAGGTCTATTTCTCTTACAGTCCCCATCTGCTGACACACTTAACAGGGAGTGAAATTCGAACCAAACTCGTTCAAACTCAACCACGAGATGGTCGTCCTAATGGGAGGAAGATATTCGCAGGGTTATCAGCTTTTCCAGAATCTCACTGTCAAAGCATTCCTGGCGATACGGCCTCATGCTGAACAGCTCATCAGCACGGTGCAGCTGATGCTTGACACTGGTCTCCCGTCTTTCAAAGGCGAACCGACAATCAAAAGGCTTCGTGACCGATTTGCGCTGGGGCTCAACGAGAGACAAGCAGCGGACTTTATGATGGCTATCGTCAAAAATGCTCACGAAAATGTCCGCAGCACAGCGTACGACGAATTCCAGAGGGTGAGTGGTTTCAACAGCGACTTCTCACTCATACTGATACTGACCTTCATCGTTATAGCTTCAAAATGGTTTGTTCCTTCGCATTCAGTCAGGCTGTTACTCATTTTCTTCTAGGCATACCGTACAAGTAGACAGAGGACGGAGTAATTTACTTTCTGAGAATATATGGCTTTCAAATCACACAACCTGTCAACCTCCGATTGCAGTTCTGGTAGCTGTAATGCACACTGGCTGTCAAGGCACTATAGCCAAGTGGTTACGGCGACAGATTCGAATCAAGTAGTATCTGTTACTCTTTGAGTGCGCAGGTTCAAATCCTGCTGGTGTCGTTTTTGCAGATTCTCTCCTATTTTGGCATTCCTGTCCTTGAACCAATTGATTACACTGCGCTCATGTCTGTTCCTCTTCCAACACTTTTTGCCCGAAGTCTTTCCACCGCTTCCAAGGCTTCCAATCTACCTACAATCGATGACTCCACCCAGGTACTCATAAGACTGATTCATTCAGTCCGAGGTGTCCTCTGACATAAGGTGTACAGGAACTCGTTCAGTCCAGCCTAAAGGATCTTACGACTCTCAGCTCACGGATCGCAGGCCTTTCGCTGTTCAGCCCCAACGAAACTCTCGAGGATATCTCCACCGCAGATCTGATCTATCTTCTCGTTCCCTATATCTTATCAGAGGTCCGAGGACGTGTCAGGACTACAAACCGGGAAGAGAGGATCGTAGTGCTCAAGCAAACGCAGGTGCGGCCCAGGGTACTTGTGCCCAGTTTTGGATTGATTTAGTTCTATAGAAAGATCTGAGGAGTTTCCTCTCGTATCTGGACAATTACGAGATCGTGCCTTCAGAGGAACGTGCTCTGCACGATCGACGAGCGTCTGCCATTGCGGATCCTGCAAAACGACGCGAAGTCAAGATCAAGCAGTATCAGAAGGAGAAAGGTCTGAGGGCACGGATTGAGGTTCGTGTTTTCCGGGCACAAGGCCATCGGCTACTAATGAATGATTCTCTTACAGACCGTCCGCAAACGTAGAGGACAAATACCACTCTCGGATACCACACCTACAGACTTTGACCTTATCGCCTCCCTCCTTCCTTCAAAATCATTCATAAAACCTTCACTAGACGATGACGATGATATTAACTCGGAAACCGACGATGCCCTTCGCGAAGCTACCATGGTGATATTGAGGCTCAAATATGCCCAATCTCACTCTCAGCTGGAGAGAATGGACCAGGAACTAGAACTTTTATCTAACGCACCGCCCACGCCCCCACGCCCAACGCGTCAAGAGGCTGACGACCGTAGGGGTAGAGGCCGCGAGAGTGACAAAGATATGTGGAAACTCGATGAACCACGGTCAAGCTTAGGACTTGATGGGAAAGGGCCGCTCTTAGATCCCTCTGGAAAGGTTGTATCCCTCCCTCCTTGCCTCTGAGTGGCACCTCACTTATTCAAAATACCTTAGCCGCTTCGACCATTTACCATCCTGCCGGCTGGCGCCACGGACCGAGCACAGCTTCAATCACAAGTGTTTGGACCGAGTCATCGGCTTCCTACCATGTCTATTGACGAGTATCTCCAAATCGAGCAGGAACGGGGCAAATTCATCTCGGGTGGCGGGTATGTTGTCACGAGCTCTTGATTTTCTAGCTTAACCCCTTTGTGGATTCAGACCTGCCTCTGAGGCGGCCCCCACATCTTCTGAGCAGCTTGCATTGGATGCAGAGATGGAGGGGACCTTGGAAGGCGAGCAGAAATCAGAAGAGAAGCGGCTGAAGGACGAGAACTGGGCAAGATACACGGACGAAAACCCCAAGGGAGCAGGGAACACAATGAATCGGGGATAATGGTACCGTGTAGTCCCAATGTTGCTGTGCATTTATTTTAGCCTTTTCGTATCCTGTCTACGGTTGTTGATCACTGAAGCAAAGTGTCGGAGTAGTATTTGATACACTAAAATCACAAAGGGCCTGAGGTGGTCACGCTGGTATACATAGTGACATGTAATATGCTCGCGTGAGGAGCATAGGAAGGTGAGATACTCAGCAATTGCACTGTGATGCTTCAGGTGTTTCGCCTGCCGCTGGTGATGTGACGTCGATTTCTATTGCAATCAAGTCAATATGTGTGAAGCTAAAAACAGTGGAGGGGCGTATACTTGTGTTTGCTTCACCCTGAGTTTCCTTCTCCATGCCAGGTAATGACATCGCGATCTTCTTGAACAAGCTTTTGACGTTATGGCCAGCTTTTGCAGAAGTCTCCATAAACATAATGTTCATCTGCGTTGACTTGGCGGTCGCCTCTTCCAACGTTACCTGCCTAATCAGCTGTAAGATAGATGGCGCATGCGTAACAGCAGGGAGGCAGAACGCACCGTTTATCAGACAAGTCCGCCTTGTTACCCACTAGCACTATTATCACATCGTTCCCTCTCTCTGACCTGACGTCTTCTATCCATTTAGTTGTAGAGAGAAATGATTGCCGATCTAGACAGGTGGAGCTTGTTGATGTTGGGTATGCATGTCAACAGAATGTCAACATACTTGTGATATCGAATACCACTATTGCCACAGAAGAGTCACGAATATACGATGGAATTAGTGAGCGGAACCTTTCCTGCGCCACAAAGTTAACCACCAGCTGCAGTGCCTTGATATAGAGTACCATACCTGTCCTGCAGTGTCCCATAGCTGTAATCTGACAGTCCGGTCCTCGAGATACATGGTCTTGCTCAGAAAGTCAATGCCAATTGTGGCCTGGTAGGTGTTGTCGAATGTGTCATACATGAATCTGTAGAGACAATGATTAATGCTGCATTTCACGAACTTTGGACAGACGTGGGGCATACCGAGTGATTAGACTGGTCTTGCCAACGCTCTGGTCGCCAAGGAGAACAATTTTTGTCCTTTTGGGGGGGGATGAGGAGAAGTCGGCAGAGACTGGGGTTGCTGGTGCGTCCGACATCGTGAAGGTCAAGTTGGCGTTGGCAAGAACACTTGCTGTGTCAATTCCAGCTACACGTCGTGACGGTCACATCACGTCTCAACTGCCTGTGTATCACGTGATAAACTAGATCCGATCTCACCTCAAGTGAAGCTGGAATTCCGGGATCCTTGCGTTCAACCAAGGCTACAGGGATGAAGCTCATTGACAAGATCGCGTCCCAAAACCCCAACCACCCATTCTACACCTTTGAATTCTTCCCCCCGCGGACTGATCAAGTATGTTACCAACTCCCATGTGCGTTTGTCTGATTGATTTTTCCACGTCTAGGGATTCGAGAACCTGATTGCACGTATCTCGCGACTATGCGCTCTCAATCCACTGGCCATCAGCATCACATGGGGCGCCGGAGGCTCGACAAGAGAACGAAGTCTTGAACTCGCAGGTTTGACGCAAACGGAGTACAGTGTGGACACGGTCCTCCACTTGACATGCACAAATATGGAACGGGGTTCTGTCAATGACGCGTTAACAGTAAATCGCGAGTTATTCCTGTACCATCCAGCAGTTGTACCAACCTTCACTTAGGCGGCCAAGGCTCATGGCATTCAGAACATCCTCGCCCTGCGTGGAGGTATGTCTTTCTTCGCCTCCCCTGAGAGCTGATTGTAAAATCATTAATTTCAATAGATCCACCGAGGGGCAAAGAAGAGTGGATCCCTATCGATCCCAACTTTCAGCATGCCATTGACCTTGTCAAGTTCATTCGATCTTCCCCCGAATTGTCCGACCAATTTTGCGTCGGTGTTGCGGGTCAGACTGTTGCATCCTTCTTCCTTCTTAACATGTCTAACATTCATGTGAAGCATATCCGGATGGACATCCCGATAGTCACTTAGACCCTGATGTCGAGCTCGATTATCTGAAGAAGAAGGTCGATGCGGGAGCAGATTTCATCGTTACCCAGTTGTTCTACGACGTCGATCGATTCCTAGAATGGGTGAAGACAGTAAGAGCAAAGGGTATGTTTCAGTCCATGAAAAACGACTGCTGTCTATCTCACAGTTTCAATAGGTATTACAGTCCCCATCATACCAGGCATAATGCCAATCCAAACCTACTCTTCATTTCTTCGTCTGGTAAAACTATGTGGAATCAGAGTACCTCAGCATGTCATGGATGCACTAGCTCCTATCAGCGTATGGTTTCTTCCAATTGAAAGGAAGCTGTCTTCTGATCCTGCCATAGCATGACGATCAACTCGTCAAGGATTACGGCGTCAAGCTAGCCGTTGAGATGATTCAGCGGATAACGAAGGAGAATGTGGTTCCTGGTGTTCACTTTTGCACGCTCAACCTTGAGAAGAGTGTTCAGCGCGTGTTGGAGCTTGTACAATGGACAGGCACCACGCCCCCCCATCACAACCGACTTATTGCAGTATGTGCCGTGCCAAATGCTGAGGTCGTCAAACGCAAGCTCATTTTTCGTTAGGAAACTGCTGGAGCTATGATCCACCCTCCACCTTGCGTCGACGGAACCGAATTCATGATCACTCCTATTACGGCGACAAACACTGCAACCATCGGGCTAGCCAATCTTCCTGCCTCCGACACCGAGGCTGGCCGTGGTGAACTTAATAACGCCGCATCTTGGGATGACTTTCCGAACGGTCGTTTCGGTGACTTTAAAAGTCCTGCTTTTGGAAACCAAGACCCATGGGGAGGCCCTGCTATGGTACGTCGTTTTGAATTTTGTCATCGCGGTCCATATTAACTTTGGGAATAGCGAAGCGAAGAAGTGAGTCAATGGCGCCACCCAAAGACTCTGGAGGATCTTACACAATTGTTCCTGGACCATTTGCACTCAAAGATCGCCACAACACCCTTCTCCCCAACAGCGTTGTCCCCAGAGTCACTACTGATCCTTCAGCATCTAGAGAAGCTGACGAAGCGTGGATGGTGGACAGTTGGCTCACAGCCAGCTGTAGATGGCGCGAGCTCTAATGACGAGGTATTTGGCTGGGGTCCACGATATGGATATGTGTTCCAGAAAGGTTTCGTGGAGTTCTTCTGCAACGCAGAAGAAGTCGATGCGATTGAGAAGATTGTGGAGGAGAGAGGCAAGGGATGGGTGCATTGGTTTGCAGGTGATGTTAAGGTGCGATTGCTGGTAAATGTGAGAGGGGTCATGGCTGAATGCTGACCTCTGAACAGGGAGAGTGCCGAGGAAATGTGCCAGAAGGAGACAGAAATGCAGTGACGTGGGGCGTATTCCCGGGACAAGAAATAACGCAAACGACCATCATCGAGAAAGAATCGTTCTTGTCATGGAAGGTTCGTGCTCACGACACTTGAAGTGGCTCCAAGTTTTTTAAAGAGGG